TTGTGGCTCCATCATTATTTTCCAACTAGTTCTTCTACATTCTCGATGTCTGATGTTTGGTTCTTTTCTCTTAATAAATATTCAATATCATGTGATTGGGCCATGAATGCATTTATTTTAAGTATATGAGAAAACAACAACAAAAACTTTGCAGAAAATAAATATGTATGTGTTCGACTGTTTCGACTACTTTGGTAATTGCGCAAGAGAAGTTATGCTCTTGTTTTGGCTTTTGAGATCAATGTTCCATTGAAAAAATTCTATGCCACTCAAGGCTAGTTGGTTAACTAATTCTCAAGTGCGTGTAAACATTCGTACATACATACATACATATGTATGTATATCCATGCCGGTTATTACGATTTTAGGCGTAAATTAAAATGTTTTGCTTCAAAATGGTTAGTTTAAAATTCCAATTTTGAAGGACAACTACAGTTACATATGTACATATAGATGTATCTAAATATATATGTAAAAGAAATACACACTTGTATCACCTAATCAAAACTGATGCATCTATATCGGTCTATATGTATATGTAATTAACAAGCAACTCTAATCCGAATTTATGGGCACTGCAAAAACTTGGCAAGAAAAAGAGCTAATTCATATACATACATATGTACATAAATAGGTGCGAGCATAGCACTTAGTTAATATTAAAAACTATATTTAAAAGAAATTTAATTATAATAGAAATTTAAGTAAAATTTTATTGAAGAAACTAGGTACCCGTTATGGCCTATGTGAGGAATCCTCAGCCAAATTCATAAATATAATCCTTGAGAACCTCTTTTCAAACAAAGGCCAATCAGTAAAAGTAAATCATCAAATGATTGGATTGTGTGTCTCCCAAAATATGAATTAGATCGGCTCGATTTCGCTTGCAAAAAAGGTGTATACGCAACCTTTTTTGTCGGTAACTTCGCCTAGTTCGAAAACTTAGATAATTTGGCGTGAAATTTTAAGCAAATTTTCCGAAGAAAACTCGGGTCTGAAATTTGAAATTTTGTGCACGCCAAATAGTCAAAATGTTTTTTTTTCCTTAGCAACGATTTAATTAGCTGTGGTGTCGTAAATAAAAGTTATTTTTTTATAAAATCAGGTTTTAATAATTTTTTCTTATGAGGAATCCATTTCTGGAGTTATTTTTGTCTTAAAATGTCCCGCCGAGGGCGCAACAGTTTTAGGTTTTATGAAAATGGTGCTGAATTCACCTTCTGTACTACCTTCGAGTAGTGATTTCCATTTTCCAATACGCATAAACTGCAGTTAAGTAAATTTCTTACGCATTTCCATTTTTATTCAATTGATTTCATTTTATCAAATTATAAAATCTGCAAATCCATAACTCCTTCTCGGGGTTTGGTAATTATGTTCCGCTATGCATATTAGACTGCATCACTCCCCATACAAAAAAAAAATAAAATTCGGTACTGTTTTTCCATTGGAATTATAAAATCTATTATATTTTAAGACGCGCACCAAAATATTTCGGAAAAATATTAAGATTTACGTGAGCTGGACCGATTTGAAAATACCTCCAAAAATGGAGTTTTTATGAATAAAAATATTTTCTTAAAGAGGTTTTTTGAAAACATGCCCTCAAATGTCAAAACGGTTTAAGCTTAAAAAATTTGCATAAAAACATTAAAAAAAAAATATTAATTTTGAATAATGAGAATTTTATAATAATAAGATTTTTGACGCTGTTTTTAACTTTTTTCAAAGATTGGTGTAAGAATAATTTGAATAACTGAAGAAGAGTTTAGTTCCGATTTACACTTTTGATTTACATTGGAAAGGTATTTTCTCACCCTTTTTATTTCTCTGCCAATGAACTCATTTAAAGGATGAAATAGAAAGGTAGGATGAACGAACATCATTCAAAGTAGAATTAAGATGTGTTGGTATTTGAAAAAACAAGATGGGACACGAATGACTTTTTGTGCACATAAATAAAAATAGTGGGAAAATACCTTTCTACCGAGATGCCATAAGTCTAAATCAGAATAGTTTTGGTCCAGTTATTTAAGTTTTTCGTAAATCAATCTTTGAAAAAATAAAAAAAACAGCATAAAAAATCTCGTTATTACGATTCCGTTGAAAAGATTTTTAAATATTTTTATGCAGATTTTTTAAGCCTATTCTGTTTTTTCATCTGAAGGGACCTTTTTCAAAAAGTTCTTTAAGAAACTATTTTCATTCATAAAAAACTCCATTTTTGGAGGTATTTTCAAATCGGTCCAGTTCGCTTAAATCTTAATATTTTTCCGAAATGTTTTGGTGGATGTCTTAGAATATAATAAATTTTGTAGTCCCGACGGAAAAACCGCAATTTTTTGTGGTGATGCAGTCTAATGTGTATACATGTTATATTTAAACATTCAAAACAGCTATGAACAAAGCGCTTTTTGGTTGATTTAAGGTTGTATTAAGGACGAAAAGCAGTTTTTAATTTCCCTTCAATTCATGTACATTCAAATCTTTGCTAATTAGGCAAACATCAAAGAAACTACTTTGGCTAGCCAGCGGGGAGAACCCCTAAAAAATCAACAGTGGGTATGGGTTCACAAAAAAAATACCACCTTCACAAATTTATCCACAACCAACCACAAAATGAAAAGGTGAACAAATAGAGAAGCATTCCAATGTACTGTTCACCAAATATGAAAGCAAAGAGAACTGCTGGTGGTATTATTTCATACATACATACATTTAAGGTGCTGTCAGACGTGGCAATATTTCCAACTTTTCCATGCAATCCGCTGCCAAATTGAGAGAAAAATTTCACTTTTTCGTGCGCAATCAGTCGTGCGCATCAGTCTCAGAAGATGTGTGTGTGTGAACTGAACCAGCGCGAATTGTGTTCGATCAAATATTTCAACTTGCAATTTTTATTTATGCTGTAAGTGCTGTCAAACTAATCGAGTAATGTTAATTTAATCTTCGAATGGAAAATAATGTTAACAACAAGTAAAATTCTTTGGTCTTGGTTTTTGTTTGCTATAAGTTAAATTTTTTTTTTTAATAATTACAGTTAAAATTTTGAATAGAATTGAATTCTCTTTTAATAAAATCTTTTTACAGCATTCGTTTGTAGGTTTGGCTTTGCGTGCTCAATAGAGAAATAACAAACAACCGATAACGCGACCTTCGGTTGCATTTTAATACCGGGAAGGATTGCCAGGATTTGTGGGACAACACCAAGGCGCTCGCCACAAATCGGAAGAGAAGCTCGTCCAAACACTAACGAATTGTGTAAGCGCCAATCTATTATTAAAGACTGCCAGAAATTCGTTCGCTGTGTGAACAGCCAAAAAGCGTTCTCAGACATCTTTCGTGCAGCTCGATTTCCGGAAATAAAGAACAACTTTCGAAAGGCACTGAGTGCAATTTGTCACTCAGTTATGCAACTGTTTCAGAAATTTCTCAATTTGACAGCCGTTTCGAAATATTTTGCATTGCCACGTCTGACAGCACCTATACGCACATATACTTTGGAAGAGTCTATCAACCCTTACCTATGGGTGAATGTTGATGTGATGGGAAATAACTACCAAACAGTGTGGTGAAAAAATTATCATACTACAGTGAATCTTGTGTTTTAAATTACATAAATATATGATTTGCTTGCTCCTCAGGCTGGCAAATTTCGTTAAATTTTTATGGCTTTATTCATAAAAATATAGGTTTAAAGGGCTTTATAAAGTGACGTTTTTCATAAAAATTTTCGATTTACAAAGCAGTTAAAGTCTTCTTTATTTTTTATGAATTTTTGTGTTATAGTTTACTTAAGCAGTTTCTAAATTCTGCTGAATTCGTCAACTTAATTGAGAGAAGTGAAGCACCGTTTCACCCGTGGACTCATAATACAAGCGAATACATTTTCAATGCTGTTTTGGAATTTAGATTTTCTATAAAAATATTTAGTATTAGTTAATACCTGGAAAACAAAAGAAAGATATTACTGGCGATGGCCTTCCAGTTTTATGTTAGCACTCCTCGATTTATTGCAGACTTATACATAAGTCTACTATAAATTGAGGGGTGTTCACAGCTGTTCACCGTTATTTCAACAATTTCGCCAGGCAATGATAAGGGCTAGAAAATGCACAATAAAGAGTAGGAAGTTTTTGTCCACTGCCTGTTTGTTTTGAATAGTGAAACAACCCGTGCTCTCAACTATTAACATAGAAAGCAGCTGTCACAGAAATGAGAGCAAATGAATTGAGGAGGGTGGCTCTTGCGGCCAAACAATAATAGCCATATGTTTCAGTGCTGCCAGTGATGCCGCAGAAGGCCGTTTTCCCCCAGCAAATTAGCAAAAGAAAATGAAGCCAAAAGAAAGCAGCTCAAATGGTGCAACAAATCGCAGCCCCAACAATTTAGTTCGTTTCGTGCGTTTCTTAGGGGAACGTCTTTTCATCTCGGTCGGCATGCAAAACTGCGAATGAAAAGTGGAAAAGTTGTGACACAGAACGGCAGAATGAACGAGTGCGGAGTGTGAGAGGGGCGTGGACAGCAGCGTAAAAAAATTGTTTGAGATTGAAAAATAAGAATTATCAAAAATATTTAAGTGCAAGAAACGAAATTGATTGGCTAAATATTACTACAAGCAGAAGATAAAGTGGAAAAAATATGACTGAATTAGCCAAGTTTTCGCTAAATAATCCCAAAAAGGGCTGTGAAGTGTAAGGAAAAATTCAATGAGTGCAAAATATGCGAATTTGCATTGCATGAAATGAAATGTGAATAAATAAAATATTTTCTAAAAATTAGAAAAAAATTATCTGTGAATGAAAAACGAAAAATTGTGAAAACAATGTAGAAAAGCATTGCGAAATTTTTGCAAGAAACGAAAAAAAAAAATTAAGATTTGGCCGCGTGCCATCAAAGAAGCGGACGCCTAGAGCTCGCTGCGAACCATACGGCGCGCATAGAAGGCAAAGGAAGGCATAAAGGCAAACAATTGGGCATACGGACTACAAGAAAATACATAAATGGCCAGCGCAAGGTGAGTGGGGAGCAGCAGCGGGCTTGTGCATTGCAACCTTGTGTGCGCCTATGCCACTCAAATGTGGCAGTCAAAAGACGGCATTCTCTTGCATTACACACACACACGAATGTACATATGTAAATATGCATACTATGTTCTGCGTGGATAATACTCCTTGCTATCATCCTCATCCACATCGTCATCTACACAATATGCGACATGCCACGAGCATGCCACTTGTAATTCAGTCGGCAATTTATGCAAATCTATGCATTTCCAATCCATTTTCTTCGCCGCTTATCTGCGGCCATTAACACAAGTCCTCTTAACTACTCGCAGTGAGTGGATACACTTGCTCGCTCTTAATTAGCATTTAACTGTCATTTACATTGCGATTACTTTATGCCTGCCACTTAGCATTTTCAATAGCAAATCGATAAATTGATTTTTGGTTTTAGCAAAAAAAAACAAAAATATTACTTTCAATGCAGAGGGACAAAGGCGGCTTTGTGCAATGCTATGCTGAGTAGAAATTAATTTTCGAATCACCCTTTATGCTTTAAGTTACTTGCTATAATTATGCAAAATTTTGAATTCAAAGCGCATCCATACATACAAACAAAATGAATTCTTACCCCTACACTTCATAGAATTCTGGCGGTAGAACTTTGCTGTTGTTATTTTTGTACCGCAGTAAATGTAGTGTAAGTAGAATAATACGCACTTAGTCCGAAAAAAATAAAAATAAAACACAAAAGTAGTTGACCTAATAGGCGGTTTCCTAATCTAATTTTCTTTCGAAATTCAGCTGTGTAAAAAGGTCGGTAAATTATTCATTAAAGGTCTGATAGAATTTAATAGATGTACTACATTATAGATGAGTTTCAGTGCTTATTAGAACCCAGGATTTTGAAGGAATTCCCAACTTTAGATTTTATAATGTTTTGTTACCCGGCCTGCGGGCAAAAAGTTGTGGGTGAAAAATCCGTCAAAACCCATACACTCAAATTAGTTTGGCGAGCAAAAAAACTATAAGAACCTATGTATAAGAAATTAGATTCTCAATGTTAAATCGAGACTTTGACAAAGGAATTTTAAAGAAGGACTCGACTTCAAGGTCAAGATATTCGTAGTTAACATTATATTGGTCTGAATTTGGGGTATGTAAATGCCAGTGACCATTCGACAGGAATATTGACCAGCCGGAAGAAAGCACTTTCTCATTATGGGTCTAGGAATTCAAAGTGTAAGTCCTCAAATCGTAGTCCTATAACACGACCACGACTAAGGTTGTCATCAAAAGAAGAACGTATTATCCGAGCTTTTCTCTTACCTTTCTTTAGACATTTCTGTCAGGTGGAAGGTCTCAAGCTCCGCACACAATAAGGGCGTGTGTTACTTTTCAAGTGGTGTAAGTTTAGATAGCGGGACGCTTGATTGAAGACAGACGTTCGCTTGTCGGCGCGCCTCTTTGAAGGCAGACGTTGTAGACTTCAGTGAGCCTATAATAAAAAGTCGTAGTGGTCCCACCAAAGCTCATTATCCTTCTGTCTTGACCCAGGGCTCCAAGAAGTTATAAATTTCGGTCGATGCGACGAACGAGTTTCTCTTTTTTATACCTGCTCTACTAGCTCTTGAAGTCCACTTTCGCTGTAGCGCTGAATCATGAAAAAATTCAGCTTCCATGACGATGACATCCGATTACGAATAGATGCTGATAGACGTCAGCTGAGTCAAATACATGGAATTCTATAGCACTAGGTTCCAGATGACTATTTTTCTGCGGCTAAGATATGAAGTAGCGTCTGCGATCAAAACAAAAAGATAAAGAAAAGAACTAAATATAAAGATAAAGATACCAATTTGGGATCGATAAAGGAAGAAGTCCAGTAAGAACAAACACGATGATCTAGTGGCTGAAGTCCCGAGTTTTGAAGGAAAAACGCCTTCGTCCACATCCAGGACCCGCGAGAGAAGTATTTACACATATCATCTCCTTTTTGGTTTGAAAGACTCCTTCTATAGTACCGAAGAGAATTGTCATTATGCAGCGATCCGAATTTTGAGAAACACCGTCAGAATTCTGAGAACATCTCGGATCCATTCAAAATCAAACGTAGTTTTAGATTTATGCTGATGATATTCGACGTTTGATTTGAATTTTCCGGCGCATTCGCGGGTGGGAACTTTTCTGCATAAGCCAATGCTTAACATCGATAATATGGTCAGCCATGTGAAAGTCACTCACCATGCTCGTAGTGATGTATGGCAGCGAAGCGTGGACGGTGCCATTATTCGATAAACTTTACAAAAATACGGGCATAGTGCAGCAACGCTTCTGGTGGCTGGCTTGGTCACCTCGTACGAATGGACAAAAAGTCTCTAGCCCTGAAAGTGGAGCATAGGAAGGGGAGGCCCTCCTCTGCCATGGATGGGCGAGATAGAGAAGGACTTGGTTACGCAAATATCTACCCCTGTCTTTCATTCAAAGTGAAAATTGAAATAGGTCATAGACCCACAGTAAAATCAACAGTAAAATGCTAAAGAAACTAAAGAAACTAAAATAAATACATAAATGCAACATAAAAGCGAAGCCAAGAGGCAAAAAGAAAGCGATTGAAACTAAAAACTTACTGAAAGCAGCCACAGCAAATAAAAAAGTGACGCGTACAAATTTACTATGTTCGCTTTATGTGGCTAATCACCTTTATATTCGTGAATGTATGTATGTATGTGTGCGTTCATATGTATGCACTAGCTATACACCTGAACTTGTCGCCCCTGTCGTATGAGCAACCTGAGTATAGAGGAAGCTTTTGTCCCCTCATTCATTGCATTGCTGACTCACTAGTCATTAGGGAAATCCGCAAGGATGTTGTGAAGAATTCTCGACTGTTGAAAGGTTAAAGAACGAAGTATAAACAATGCAACAAATAGTAAGAATATATGTATGTATGTAGTTATGTAACTATGTGTTTTTGAAGGTGTGTACTATATTCTCTTCAACGATGTAAAATGTTTTATAAGTCGTACACACACCGAGATCGACATTGAATTTGCCACAATTGTGTTGAAAGAAAGAAAGAATACGGAAGAGCCTTTTTGTATTATAGAATACGCGTATTTAAGTATTAAGAAAAAACTGTTGAGAATATAGAGAGGACTTATATGGGGAAGTCTTGTAATGGTACATATAAGGAAGCGTGGTCTTGAAGTAACATTCGATTGGCGGCCACTCGAAGCATCTAAAATCATTTCAAAACAAGGCAAGAAATATCTCCTATGCCACTTTAAACCAACTTAATAACTTGCGTCGTATCGGCTCGAAGAGTTTCCTATTGAAAATCCTATAGTTTTAATAATTTTTTCCTTACAAACATCAGCTCATGATAAAAACTGGTAAAATTAAAAATAAAAATAAATGTTTTACTGTCTGTCCGAGAATGCTTCGACCAGACCAGACCAGACGAGAACAGACAGTATAGAAACACCCATTGGGTTTAAGTCCTGTGGCCATTGTTGCGAATAAATGAAGCAGGGAAGTCTTTTTTTATAAAAGAAGTTGGATTTCGCGAACTTTATGCGATGGTGGCGTGTCTTATTGAAACGTCAAATGACTTCTACCAAATTGTTTTCGTGCCCAAGGTAATAAAGCATCGTTAAAACACTTTTCACGTTAGATTTGCTGATATAAATTTACGCCCTGTTCAATAAAAAAAACCAGAGGACCACATTCGTGCAGCCTGTGAAGCATTCCCAGATAATCCACTATAGGCGGCTACATCGAACAGTAATACACTTTTCTTAAAAAGTGATTAGTTCATATGATGTTAACAAAAATAAATAAACGAAATTATAGCATTTTTAATTAGTGACAGTGGTGGAAAAATAAATAGGGCACGTCATTTTAACAAATTTTGTCTGTTTTTCTTTTGTTTATTTAATATTTGTTACTTTTTCATAAATTATGAAAATTATGCAAAATTGCATCTAAATTTTCAACTTTTCAAGTATGCAGTTGTATAGCCCATTAAATTTTAGTATGACAAAGTGCAAGTTTGACATTACTAAAAAATCGCGTTGACTTTTGTTGCATAATGAGCTATAGTTGTATAAAAAAATTATAAATATTAAATAAACAAAAGAAAAAAAAGGCAAAAAAATTTGTAATATATCGTGTCTCCATTTATTTTTCCACCACTGTATGTTTATTTCTGTAGGTGTTAGTTTGTAAAAATTACCCAAAAAATCTTACAAGTTTTCGCATTGTTTGCTATTTTCCAGTGTAACTGAATTCTTCGACGGCAGCGTCAGCCGTTTGGTGATTGGTTCCACCATCATTGTCTACTTGCTCGTCTATAATGAGGCTAGCGGCGCTGCTATATTGTTTGCCACCATTTTGTCAGCTTTGTATGCTGTAATGGCAGGTTGGTTCACAGGCAGATGCATACTACATAATTTATGCTATAAAATTAACTAACTGTTCGTTTTTTTTTAATTCTTTCTTCTCGCAGCATACTGCAAAGCCACTCTACGCTCCGTCCAAATGCCTTACATACGTGCCACCAACAAATTTGACTTCTCTTGCCTCTTTCTAGCCACCTGGATGGATGTGCTGGCGATACTGTGTGCTTGTGCAGTTTTGGCGCGCACTCTTAGCACCTGCCTGGATGCGATGACGGGCGGTATGGCGCATATTCTTATTTTGGGTAAGTTTACAGCCATACATAGGTGCTTACGTAGGAGTTGTTTAGGCAAATGCACTTGCTCACGGTACGAGCACATTTTTGTAGCACTGTAGGTTGCTGCTTATTATTAACACTAATTTATTGCATAATTTTAGGCCGTAACTCATCGGCCAACGAGCCATGGCCGGATGTGCTGGGTGTTGCGGTGGTTCTTCTCATAACTTGTATGTGCATGCTGGGTCTGGAGGTAAACTAAAATAACGCATTCGTATTTAATAATTTTTGCTTCTTTGTTATTAATTTGTGGTATTTTTTTACTCCGTTCCAGAACTCCAAAGCCTTTTGCGTCCTCATGATCGCTGGCATTATAATCATGAACATTTCGCTAGCCTTGGTAACTACTTGGAGACTACACTCGCTTGAGTTTAATCGCTTCTTCTTTCGGCCGAATGGCATTAAAAGTGTAAGTGATAATTTAGAGTGTGAATAGACATGCATAAATATTATTAGGAATAACTAGAAAGCTAGTTTTTAAACGCTCCTCAATTATTTCTACATCGTCTAAGGGTTAATATTGATTTTCAATCCTTAGACAAGCGACCATTTGTAGTAATTATTTAGATTTTCTGTGGTTTACTGTTTGCAAATCTCTCTGTGAGCTGTGCCCGCGTGGGTGGTCTGTAATTTATAGCTTGCATTCATTAAACAATTCAATGCCAAGCATGGGAAGTTGAGAACCTACACACTAACTTGGTTGCGTTTATAGAGATTACATCAGTGCTGGGGTGATGGCACACTAATCTGGTGATCTGGTCTGCGTGCATTGCGTCCGCATATAAATGAAGGGCAGAAGCCTACATATACATGTTTATGTACTACTTATTTAATTTGTTTTATCCTACCTTACAAGTGCTTAGATGGTTAGATTAAGTTTGGTTAGATTAATCTGACTGTTGTGACTCTTTCCATCGGATATTCCTTGCTACATTTACTCAGGACATTCTTAACTGCAATTTCGTTACCTTTTCGGTTTTTTGGCGGGCACCCAATTGAAATGCGAGTCGACGTACTATAAGTTTACTTAGTGTAGCTTCTTGTATTTGTGTAGGATTTCCTCATAGAAAAGTCTTCCGCTGATCGTCCGGATATGCGGATATCAAAGAGAATGGATATCAATCCGATAATCCGATAACAGAAGAGAATGGATACTAACCGGATATCCGGATTTATGCGTATACACGAATGTCCTAACGGACATCCAGATATCCGAATACGGGAATAGCCCCAGCCCTGTTGTATACTTATAATAAGGGATTTGTGGATAGGTTTCACTCCCTTCCGCCATTCTTCCTAACTATTGTTCAAAATTAAAAAAAATAATAATAAATACCGTGCCACTGTACTACTGTGTTCCTTTTACCCGCAGATTTAGTAGCTAGGTTCTCTAGTTAGATCTTTTCAGTGCAGCACCAATGAATCAAGTCCGAGTGTATTTCTGCAATGAAAAACGGCTTATCATAAAAATACAATCGCCGGTCGGAGTCTGGATAAATCTGTAGGTCCCTCCACTTTGGGCGACAACATCAAGCCGCACGCCACAATTGCACCTTCTCACCCTTTCCTCGATAGTTTCCACACTTCCTAAGCAATTCGCCATTCAAGACTACACCCAAATACTCTGTGAGGTCTTTCAGGAGCAGATCGATGTTACCTTGCTTCGATGGTGCCCATACCGGCACCTTTTACCTTGTTATGAAGAGTATAATATCCGTTTTGTCTGCGCTCATCCTCAGACCCACATTAAATGTCCACTTTTCTATCACTAATGGCACCTAGGAATTTGGGGTCACACATGTTTATCTGAATATGCGAGTAGTTTTGGAGATTTGCCTTCGAATTTCTATAGTTATTTACTGGCTATCACATGAACGCTGACAGTACGCCTCTTACCGACCATACGTGGACCTGCCACTTTTGTAGGCGTGTTTCGTTCGGCCACGCTGCCAAGCATCAGTCTTCCCATAATGGGCGCGTCGATATTTTTATCTAATATTTTTAAGAGAAATGAAGTCAAACTGATGGGTCTGTATTGAAGATGCTTTTACCGCCTTTCGATACAAACAGAACTCTCGCTTCTCTCCAAATACACAGGCACGAAGCTTAGCCCTCAACATGCTCTGAGAATCGAGGCCTCATAGACTAGCATTTCAGCACTTGGAGTATGGCAGAACTTATGTTTTCCACTTTGGGCGATTTCTATGGTTCAAAACTGTTGATTGTCCATTCTAATTCATTTGAGGTAATCACGTTTGGAGATATGATGCAGACAGACTATTTTTTATGTTCAGGACCTACCTTGTCCCTGCAGCCCGGGAGGCAAGTGTTGACCATAACCTCTAGCCACTCCTCACTACAGCAGGTCCAGTAATAAATGCGCATCAAATTCGGCGAGATTGACTTCTGTGACAACAGTTTTCTAAGGCAGCCTACTTCATTCGCATTGAATATTTTAGAATCAGAAGAACGCCCTATCTCAGTTGTCAATTCACAAACGCCACATCTCGGCACATTTCCAATGGATTTTAAGCTGAGATAGGGAACTCTTGAACATAATTCTGAGATAGGGCGTTTTTCAATAAAATTCTGAAATGAGGCGTTCTTCGATCAACTTCTGAAGTTCTTGAAAACATTTCTGAAATAGAGCGTTTTCGAACTGGCTGCCGAGATAGGTCGATCTTCCACTCAGGTGACGATTTGCTATCGACCTAACTCCTACTTCAAGTTCGGCGCGCGAGTCGTACTTGCATGATCTAATAGGCAGCATGCACGGTGCGTCTGACTCGTGAGTCGGTTTGGATGTGCTTGTGTAAATCAATATGTGTTAGTTACACCTACAAGACTCCTTGCATGACTCTGAATGATTCAATTGTGTGTAGTCGAAGGCGAGTCAACACGTACACAAATGACTCGCGAGTCAGAAGCACTATGTATGCCGCCTATAACTCGTTCCCCATTTTCCCTGTAATGTGGGCTCAGTAAATGCTGTTATTCATATCCGTGAGCTATAGTTCTCAATATTCTCTTCTTCTTCATTGCACAGGTACTCACAGCAGCGGCACTACTCACGTTCTCCTATCCCAGACTCTATCCAGCGTACGATTCCTGCTTTTTACGATACTCAGGACTGATTCATATCGTCAAGTGCGTGCTTACTTTGGGGCTTGGGGCGCTGTGCTTTACTGTCTTGGTGCATTTCAAGTAAGTAAGACATTTCATGAGTACAAGTAGGATACTGTATAATGTTAGTAGTAATCACCTGAATCAATGCAATTTTTTCTCATTCCAATTTTAGGGCTCCTCCTGAGTACATTGCTATACCAGTCTTCAAATTTCTAGACGACTTGAATATGCACCAGCTAGTACCAGCTGTTGCTTGCCTCCTGATGTTGACATACACAGGTGCATATATGGAACTCTTTCCCGAGCTCTATGGCCTCATCGTACGCTTTGCGACCGCAGAGTGGAAGGTGTTCTCGAAACAAATAAGCTATGAAAGTCCCGACAGCGGCAATCCTGTGCTAGCAATTTTTATAAGCGGTAAGGTTGAATAAAATAAAAAAATACCCCATTTCAGATAGATGAGCAATTTTATAGTTGTAACTAAATCACAGGAAGTCTCTGCGCTATGTTGGCCTTTGCGTGTCCGCTGCAAATTCTCACCCATATGCTGGCGGGCAGTCACATATGTGCGGGTCTTATAAGAGCGTTCTATTTATTGTATTCCCCCTACCGACCGAAATACATACAACCAAATAGTAAGAACAAGCCAAACACACGTATGTATATACATAAGCATGTAAATATCTTTCTTCTTATAGCCACCCATTCGTCACTCAGCTACAGTCGTCTTGCCACAGCGCCACCATTGGTGGTGAAGAGTTCCTCCTCGAATAGCAGAATTAAGCGCAGCATATTGAGCGCTAGTTTAGCCAAGAAGGGCGCAATTATGAAGCCAAAGTTGAAGAAAAAACCAAAGAAGGAGCTGGAAAAGGAATGGCTTTTGCTGGGTGAGCCCACATCGCCTTGCCCTGCTCGTACACCGAAGGATGTGGAGTCTGCAATGCTCGCGGATCGCGAGCCACCGGTAAGCAGAAAACAAATTTTAGATTTTAATGAGTAGGAAAAAGAAGTCATTAACCGTTGATCTCTTCTTTTGAAGCCCTCCGATTTTGAATATCCAGAGAAATTTGAGAAGAGCGATTCGGATACCTCAACCGATATAGATGCGATAGTCGATGAATATCGACAAAAAATTAAGGTAGTCTTGAGATCTAAGCATAAAAAATGTGCGTTAATTTCTTCTCACATTTTAGGTCACAACCGCCGGTCCCATGGAAATGAGTGTGCGCTTACCAACTCTGAAATCTTGGCGAATAATCATGTTCAGCATTTTTACTATAGTTTCATTTGTCGTATGTGTCAACATCAGTAGCGCGGTTGAGCATCCGTACACATTTTTAATATACATTGCCGGTGAGTATAAAAAAGTAATTAAGTATTTCCTAAAAAAAGCGAGAGCTACGAAAATGACCAGCGGGGAATGGGAACTAGTAATGTAAGACAACATGGATTCATTCGGTTTTTCTTCTATGCGGTTTCTCTTTGCATAAACCTCTAGTCATCTAAAGCAGAAGGTTACTTAACGACATTTTCGTTCGAGAATTCTTATGAACTGAAGGCTTAATGCTTTGTTCTCAGCCATTTCGTAAATCACTTCTTACCCCAATCCCCTGACCCCAAAAGGGAGGCTTCGTCTGGGATTTCTTTTGGAACTGTGTTGGATAGAAAATGGGCATCGGGGATAAGTTTAAGCAACTCTTCACTGCTCACTGTACAATTTGCCGTATCGTATCTCAAATATCCCAAGATGGAAATGAGCTGATCGATAAGCGTTGCCTTACTTGGGCGATAAACTTTTTCAAGTCAACGTGAACAGGCTGAATTATACCTGCCTAGTTGGAAAATAATAGTTGAGCTGTGCGGGGACACATCGCCAGGGCTTTGATTGTGGTTAGGAAAATGCTCTCACATCTCTCCCACGGCCTCAGACTAATCAGTCTCTCATCGTTAATTCGTGAAGCTGTTGACTATAAACCGGATTCCTCGCGATCGCTTGTCAGGAGTTTCTGATTTTAGGCAGGAAAAGGCATAATATTAAGGACAGAGTGAAGAAGTCATAGGGAGACAATTGGTAACAGATGGTACGCCTTTCCTAAGCTTGATTCCTGAGAGCGTGTTAAGTCCATAAAGTTCTACAGATTTTAACAGGAGAACTACGTAAGTCAGGAAAAAGAATTGGCTAAAATGGGTCGCCCTTATTGGAATAAATGGCGCTTTAGCAATTTGGAAAGTCGGAATTTTTATTCCCTCACCCTCTAGGTTGTTCTATTCCCAAGGAAATATACCCTTGTTTTTATTTTGAAATCTATATGTCTCGTACCAGCTCTGCGAAGGGTGCGTGAAAACCAAAACATGTGCAGCTCCAAAGTCTTACGGGACGAGGGTGCATTAACGCCGGTCAATGGATTCTCAAGGGCTCATAAAAGGTACTAACTTCCGCAGCTGTTGAGAGAATGTTGAAGTTGAATCGTCTTAGCTCCTTCCTTTGGGCTATGAGGCTGCGAGCTTAGCACCTTGGTCGCACTCTCTGATCAGCACACACCAGTACTCATCGTTTTTCGCTATAGCTTTGCATTTACCGTTTTGTAAATGTTTCAACAAAGGGTTAATGCTTATGGTCTGCCACTGTTTGGGGAACCACCCTACCTAACTTAGCCTTATATTAGAGTTGCCTTTTTGAAATTATTAAAATGTCGATAGCGCGGGCAAGAGGTTTATTTTTTTATGTCAGAATCAAAAGCTTTGTTAAAGATTCATTCGGAAATTGTAGTTGAATAGGAAGCCAAATTTTAATTAATTCGATTAAGTCAAATTATCAAGTATTAACTGTGTTTTATTGGAACCAATAACTTTTCTATTTCTTACCATTTCAGGCTGCATAATAATCAGTTCTATGATGTCCCTTTTCCCCAGCTATCGTAACGGTGCCGTAAACGTGAACCCGTTACTTTGTACTACCACTATCATGCTGGGTGGGATACTCCTCAGCGGCTGTTCATATTATTCATGGCCGGCGATACTCTTTTGGCTAATCGCTGGTCTAGCTTTGATGTTGCGATGTGATAATTGGTGCTGTGGCTGTTTCGAGTACAGTGGTGGCACAATACAAGAACAGCTGATACCGAGCGTTCCGCCCAAAACGGCAACGAAAGCAACAACCGTACATATACCTCATCTACCGAAGAGGGTCGTTACCATACCAACTCGTGTAAATACAGCAGCCAGATGACAATCAGCAGCGTCCTCGGAAAGCGAAGATCTCTTCAATGAAGATTTCAGTTTATGCGATTTCAAAGAGGATCGAAACGACGATGATGACGATTGCTGGAGTGAATAAGTAGACGCATGAAGAAAAGCAAGGGAGGAGAAGAGTTTGTATGTATGTACATAAAAGCAGTGATCAAATAATCGAGTACCTATAGGAGGAAGGCGTACTTCGGAGGAAATGTCGTGCCGTAGTCATTAGCCATAGTCATTGCCATTGCGTAGTCTACGCAAATGCTGATTGCTTGCCTGCAACTAGACGTGGGAAGAAGGCGTATTTTTTCTATAGAAACGGGTTAAACAGAGCTTCTTACCTCAAGTGTACAGTCATTTTACGTAGTTTATTGTATAGGGATATATTTAAATATACATACATACATACATACATATGTACATGTGTGTGTATGTCTTACGTATTTGCGGCGCTTAATTCTTCTAGCCTTTAGAACTTTTTAGATAGTTACCCAAATAGAATAATAACACCGTGCGACAAAAACAAAAAATTTGAAAAACACATGAAAGAATCGATGTACTCACGAAACTATGGGCCAAATATAGTAAAACTGCGTTTTTAGTTTTTCACTCTGACGGCAGGATTTATTTTTTCAAAGGACTTTGAAATTTTAAAGATATCATTAATTCTAAAAATTATTAAAAAAAAAATTAGTGCAATGTAGAATATGAATATGGGTACCAAATGAGAGAGATAATCCGGCAGAATTTAAAAACAACAAAGTTTTTTAGTTAAAAAGGACGAATAGGTATTGAAAATACGCTTTTAGTGAATTTTATGTTTTTAAGTTAATAAAGTTTGCGTGACGAAATTCGATGATGAGGTCGTGCGTATATTAGTCCTCAAACAATATTTTTTTCAAACAATATTTCAAATTTTCAAGGATATTTAAGGATTAAAATTTCTAAAGGACATTTTCCATACCCATTCGTCCTTATGCACAAAAAAATTTATCCTGTTATAATTCTACAGAACTTTTTCTTTTATACGATACCCTTATTGTTATCCTAAGTAGTACTAAATTTTTTAAATAATTTTTTGAAATAATCATTTTTTTTTTTGAATTTCAATATCCTTTTAAAAAATCCTGACGTCAGAGAGCAAAACTAAGTACGCACTTTTACTACAATTTACCCATAGTTTCGCGAATATATTCATTTTTGTGTGTGCAAAATTTACTGCTACACAGTGTAATAAGCGGCATGTATGAATGAAAATAGTGAATGAAATGAAAACGTGCGACATGTGGGTACCAAAGTGTATCAAACAAGGTGTGATTGACAAATCAGTGTGGTTCTCTTTTAATGTGCTGTAGTGTGAAAAAATATAAACAAACGGTTGAAAATTAAGAAATAGTTTTTTTTCAATTTGACTTTACAGGATGATTCTTATGAGAGCACTGTCAAATTCAATCACACTTTGTTAAATATATTTTGGTAGGTACTTTCATATATTTGATTTGAACGCTAATTTGTATAAAGTTTATACTAGCAACGTAAAACTCTTGTACTGAAAATTTATTACGAATTTTGCTTTGAATAAAATACTTCACATCCCTTAGTATAATTTAATTAAATCAATTACATTAGTTTATAATTTTGTCGAATTTACTCTGAGAAAATATATATATGTATATGGATTTGATTCTAGACTAATAAAATATTCAATGAAAAAAAAAATATTTTGAAAGGCGTGGTTTTCCATTAAATCTGTCGTTTTATTTTTCTAAAAAACTTAAGTCTGTATAGAAGTCGGAGTAATAAAAATTCTTTTCCGAACTGAACTGATGTGCTGCACTTTCCATTCCTTTCCAATAATTGAAGTGCTCATCTAAAAATTATCATCTTAGGCCGACGCCACGTAATGAGCGGCAAAGTGGCCACCTACTGAGCGGCATTTCCGCTCAGCCGCTCATTGCGTGGCCTCGTGATGAGCTAATTCGAATTTGATTGTTCGGACAAATGGCAACCCTCCTAAATAAAGGTGAGAAATAAATCATTTTCAAACCCATTTCGATTTATATCCATCATTTAGTTATTATCCAACTTACTGAATAATTTTAATGAAACTTTTTAAAACATGGCAACTCTATTCAAACATTCGAAACGTTCAAACTAATAATTTCTTAACATTCTTCCGCTTGACTACGGTATTTTTATATTTTATATACCCTTTGAATTAGTTAATTGAGTTGGACCTTTCAAAAAGGTGGCAGCCTTCTTCAAAAGTATTTTCAAAGCTTAAGCATTGTTAAAAATAAATTATTAAAATAAAATATTTAGCATATAAATATATATATACATAAGTACATATGAATGTATGCACATAAATATAACAGATAAAACACATTATTCTTAATTAACCCATAGCAATCACGTTGCAACTACAAGTGGAAGCAAATCTCTAAGCGATGATAGCCGAGAGATAACTGATATGAGTACAAATGCAGTCACTTCAAACCAGGGATTGCCAAAGTGGTACATCGGGGTCCGCGAGATGTAAAGAACTAAAATGGTGCTTATTTAATTTATTTATTTAAGTTTAATTTTTTTTAGTAGTGTGCAGTGCTCTTGACGCACTGCTGCACTTACCGCCACTTTGTGTCATCATACAAGGGGAAGCCTTAAAGGCCACGTTCAGACTAAAAAGAAACGGATATTCTTATAACACTAGCGAGGCGAGGCGAAAATTCCTGGCGGCAGAGATTTGAGCACTTGTTTCTTTTCAATGTTGTATGATAGTACGTCACCATTACCTTTGTTGAAGAGATTCTATAATGTTGAGTTCCCTCAGACCGAATGCTTGTTTAATTTCAGCTCAGAGCTCGGACTCACGCATTGTCGAATCTTCACTGAAGGCTCCAAAACTGACTCCGAGTCAGGATCTGCGGTCTTTTACGAAGTTAATGGGGATAAGCTTCACTTTTCTCTTGGGCAATAAGCCCCGGTCTTCCAGGCTGAGGTATTTTCAATCCTCAAAATCATGGACTACATATCTCAATTGACAGCCAGGCTGCACTTAAGGCAATGGCCAGCCCGCTATCTAAGTACTTCCAAATTAGTTTATGTTGGTAAACATAACGAGCTTGCTTTACTCTGGCTACCTGGTCATTCGGGAGTAGGCACATGGTAATGAGACCGCTAACCATTTGGCCAGAACTGGCTCAAACCAGGCATTTGCATCACTTTAAAACTCGGAGCAGAAAAATAAAAATGATTCCATCAACACAAATAAACTATTTTACGAATGCGCCACATGCAAATTCATGAGTGAGCCGAACATGAGAGGAGGTTGTGGTAAACAGAATGCAAATAACGCTGGCGCTCGGAGTTCGCTTATAAAATATAACTCCTCAGAGCGAGAGAGTACTTTCAACGCATTACAAGCACTATTTTTTATAACTTGCAAGTGTGTAATCATATTTAATAAATAAAAAACAAGAAAATATTTTATTTTTATTTCTGCCACTGCGAATTAAGTCTTGGAACTCACCCGCGGTGCAAATTTACATCGTTAGATCTAATCGTCACATTTTTTTAAGAGATTTGGGAATATCTTAGAAATGTAGCAGCAGGAATCCACCACAACCAGTAAGGTTTTGAAAGGGGTCTACGGGGAATAAAAGATTGGGAACCGTTGCGTTAAACCGACGAATGGGATAAAATAATTACACTATCTGCGCACGTTTATTTCTATTGCATATGTATGCATGAATGTACATACAGCGTGACAATAGCGCGAAGAACAGATTTCACTAATAGATATGCAATTGAGAGCGCAACAATGATCGTTGCTGTGAGCGTTACAGCATAAACAAATGCGATACAGTTTTTTTTTTGTGAGCGCCAGCAGTTCTCAATTGGCAAGCGTAGCGATTAGAAGCTTAATCAAATGAATCACAAAATTGTTGAAATTCTGAGTGCTGAAGAATGCGAAAAAATCGCTAGAAATACGCTTAAATTGAAAAAAGATGAAAGTATTAAAATTAAAAGTTATGCCCTTGAAAAGGGGCCGAATGAACTTGTAGGCTTCATGGGAGAATATTACAAATTGCACATTCGAGTGCAAGATGAGGTAAGATGATTACGAGCTAAGCTAAACAAGTGTGCTATGGTTCAGATAATCACAAATTCATCACATTCTCTTACCAACAACAGCGACTGGGAGCGAGTGCTGGAATTAAAGATTTTTGTTACTTTGTAAAATCGGTGCCCATATCGAATGAGCTGCACCGGGCTGAGTGCGAGCGTAAGTGTTTCTTCCGCAAAGAGGTCTGTGCCTATACCGAGATTTTGCCAAATATACAGAAATATGGTAAGTGTTGAGTCTATTGTGAAGAAAAATAAAATAAAAATAAGCAAAAAATATTACTTTAACCCACAAAACTTTCGAATAGCTTCTACGAAATTATATCCCGAGTGCTATTATGCCCGCAGAGATTTGTTGGTGCTCGAAGATCTCGTAACGCCTACTTTGGGTTATCGGCACTTGGAAACAAATGAGCTATATACGCATAAGCATCGAAAGTTATTTCTTACACACTTAGCACAGCTACATGCGGCCAGCATTGCCTGGGAGGAAAGAGAGGGTATAAATATTGGCGTAAAATTCAAAGATTCGTTGTTCGAACTGATGCTGACCACTGAAAATGAGTGGTATATTACCGGAGCGAAGGTGAGTGGCAATGAGAGATACGCCTTTGCAAGGTTAGAGAATGATACTTATTAAAGCTGAAATAAATGCAAAACAACTTTGTAATGCTCTACTCACTCTTCTCCCTTCTCAAGAGCACTAGAAAACTAGGGATAAAAGCCATACCCGAACAGCTGTAATATCTTACTAGGAGGGCTAAATAACTTAAAAAAATTTAAGCCAGAGATAGGTCCATGTAGTTCTCTAACCCTCTACAAAAATGAAACTATTGCTTAGATTAAGTTAAGATGTCGTCGACGTAGTCTTGATATCGAAGCTCGGAGGAATATCTACTCATTGCTAATGCTCTTCATGTGCGCCAGGAGGTTAGAGTTTGTGTATGAGCCCTCCGTTTAACTGATAAAAGTTTTTCGCCGAATCATTTTTAAAGAGCCTTAATGTTATCCTCAAGGATTTTATTTGTTATTCTCAAGGATTCTCAGAATTTCTAGCAGTTGTCCACATTAAAGACCGCATGCGACTCTTGACGCCATGAAGCTTCCCCTATGGATTACCCAATCTTACTCATATTGGCTACATCATAGATCCAAGTGGCCTAACAACGCGATAGAATAGCTTAGATGCCTTAGGATTTCGACCATTAGTTTCAATGATCTTCTGAGCATTACTGGGTAAAGTGTACGTTTTTCAAAAAGACTCAGGCTGTTACGTTATGAATAAATAACTTAAGTTCAGGAATGTAAATAAGGCACCTCGCTTTGCCTCTACAATGGCTAAAACGAATGTAGTAGTGTGAGCCGGTGGGCATTGGTTTTAAAATTCTATGAGGAATAGAACTCTGCATACCATCTGGGAAATAATAATCCCCACATTTTCTATTTTCAGGGTATCATTTTCCTCACAAAAAGGTACGAGAAATTCCAAACACCCGAAATACAAAAGTTGATCGATGAAAAGCTCTATGCGCTGCTCGTAGATGTGAAAAAGTATACGGAACCCTCCGCGCGCATGCGCAATGTATACTTGCATCGGGACTCTTGGGAACGCAACATTTTCTTCAAATTCGACGCAAACCGCGAACCCACCTCCTGCTGCATTGTGGACTTTCAGCTAAGCCGTTACGCGCCACCAGCCATGGATGTACTCTTCTTCTTGTACGGCGAAACGCCAGCTGAAGAAAGAAAACTGCGCATGCAAGAATATCTGGAGTATTATTACGCCGAGTTGCAAGCGCGTTTCGCGGAGTTGAAGCTGCCACTCGACACTATCACGATGGAGGATTTTCTGGAAGACTGCCGACGTACTCACCTGCCAGTGCTTATTCTGGTGGCCATTATCAAGCCGCTGACGATGATGCCTGATGGTTTGTCGCGCAAGTGGCGCGAGGAGGAACAGGAAAAGTTCGACTACTACATGAATGTTCAGCGCGAGGAATTGTTCCTACGGCTAATGGCGCTCGATCCCACATATGAATCGCGTATTATGTGGCCCATTGAAGAGCTTATGGAATTTTTACAAATAAATGGAGATTTGTTAGATTAAGTAGACCTCTGAAATTTTTTAGCTAAACTTAAATGATACAAAGTTGAATATATGTTTTATTACAACAACAAATGCATCATTTCTTCAATACAATCAAAGATATACTCCTTAAATTTCACATCCAATTTCAGCAGCTCGAGCACCTCATTAACGCGGTCAACATTTGTGTAGCGATGAAAGGCATCTGGGTGATTCAGCTTTAAGTTCTTCAAATAATCGCCCGGCACACGCAGTATTGTCGCTGAGATGCAGTTGTAGAGTGCACCGAAGAGCTCCAGCGACTTTAGCGACTGTTCGAATTCGTTTCGACTGAGTTGTTGCTCGGCGTCCACACCTTGTCGCTTCAGTTCGTCGGCGAAGTAGTTGTAGTACCTGTCGTAGTACCAATATTTCAGCGTTTTCCGTTGCTGTGGTGTGATGTTCAGGTAGACTACCATGAGAACATCAATGGCGGGCGGACTATAGCGCGCCAGTTGGTAGTCGACTAGAACTACCGGCTCGGCGTCAGGTTGAGATTTGCTGAAGAACAAGTTGCCGCCCCAGAGGTCGCGGTGGCAAAAGACGTTCCGATATTTGCTGGATGGATTAACCATTTCGTAGACGCTGTCTAGATGGCGCGGCAGCTCGTCGGCGATGAACTTTTGTAGGGCCTCGCTTTGGAAGGCGGGGTGAACACGCGCCACAGCTAGGACAGCCTGAAAGGAAAGGAAAATGGAAAATGGCGCTTGGCTTTCAAGAGGATTTGATAAATTTGGCGCAGCCCTAAAAATTAAGATTTAAACGTAAGAAACGGTAATAAGTTTTCGGTAGTTTGGAAAGGGGAAACCAGTTTGGTTCTTTAACAACGGGGTACACATTTTGAGCAATTTAAATACTTGACATAATTTTTTGTCTTGCCAGAACTGGACAAAAAAAGTTGGCATTGAAAAGTGAAAACATTTGTATGTCTTAGAAAAGCGGACATAAAAAACGTTCGACGGAAAGTAGTCAACACTTTTAAATTTGAAAAACGTTTAAAATTTCTGTACTGTTTTTAAAAGAAATTTATGACCATTTTTTGAAAAATTAGGATTTAAGTTTTAGCTTTCACATTACAAAAAAAAAAGTTTTCCCAGGTTTTAAATTACAAAAATTTCTAAGTTTTCAATTAACCAAATAGTTTTTTCGAATTCTTAGACTACCAAAATCCTACGCCCAAGTTTTGCATTAAAAAGGTTCAGTTTTTAAAGTGCCAAAACTCTATTTCCAATTTTTAAGCGGTCAAAAACCTTATTTTCCAAATTGGCAAATATCTATGCCCAGTTTTTGCATTTAACCAAAAAAATGTATTGACTAGAAAATTATGTTCAGTTTTAATGTACGAAAAATCGATGTCCAGTTTCTAAGTTAGTTTTCACATTAATAGTAAATTACCAAACATTTATGTTGTCCATTTATTAATCGGCCAAAAAATGTATATCCAATTTTTTGTTGATCAGAAATTTAAATTCAGTTTATAATTTACCAAAAATGTATGTCCAATTTTTTGAATATCAAAAAATTATACCAAGTTATTAAATTTCAAACTATCTATAGTCAATTATGTTTTGTGTGCCGGCATTTTAATATTCAGTTTTTAAATGGTAAGTTTATGTACAGTTTTTGAGTAATTGACCAAAAAATATTTAAAATAGTTTTTCCAAAGGCACTAAGACTTTCTTTTTGTAAAATATCAGTTATCTAAACGAAGAATAAATAACGTTTACTCACTCTCACTCCAGCTGTATAGAAAACCACCTTTGGCGACACTGTCATCTCCCTTAAAACGTTTTTCAGCTGCTCGCCAATATCCACTTGCTTCCTCTCTTCGTAGGTAATACTGCTGGCATGCATGGTGGCTAAGCTCTTCAGGAGTACATCCATTTGTGATTGCGTCAGAAATTCTGCTGGATTCTCCACAGGCTCATAACCCAAATCTACAATATTTTGCATAACAAACAAATCGCGACGGGTAAAGTAGCATTGAGCACACCAGATGTTAGTGGCTAAGATTTTTTTTTTTTACCAAATTAGAAGAGATAACAGTTATTAAAAATTTGTGAATATATTGGCTTAACTAAAAACAACAGTAAATATTGACAGTTAACTTGAATAGTATGGATATTGATAGTAAGGCAGTACCTATATTAAAAATCTCTGTTGTGATCGATTGATAAGATACTGAATATGTACAGATCCTTGTGGTCAGCTGATTAAGTCAAGTGAAATTTTGACTACTTTTGGTTATTTTTCTTTTGTCTATTTAATGTTTATATTTTTTTACCTAACCAGCCCCACATATTTCAAACTTCGTACAAAAACTATGAAACTTCTACAAACTTTAACATTTGCCACCGAAAATTTTAAACTTTTTATTCAGAATTTTTAGAAAAATTTTGGGTATGCAGTTTTGTAGCCAATTAAATTTTAGTAGGTCAAAGTGCAAATTATAAGACGCTACAGAATCGCGTTGATTTTTAAAATTTTTTTTTGGCTGACGGTGTTGTGCATTTTCTTCCATATAAAATATGCTCGACGATTTCGTTTGTATGGGAGAAAATGGCCAGCACCATCAGGAAAAAAAAATTATTACAAATCAACGCGATTTTCTAGCGTCTTGAAATTTGCACTTTGTTGTAGGAAGTTTAAAATGTGGATTTATGTGGCGCTGGTTAGTTGAAGTGCTAAACTTTTATAAAAAAAATATAAACATGAAATAAGAAAGAAAGAAAAATAGCCAAATCTAGTCAAAATTTCACTTGACTTAATCAGCTGACCGCAAGTGTATGTCGTGTATACGTTTGGTCATTCATTTATTTTTCCCTTCTTTTCTATCTCACTCAACAACTCACTCATTTTTCTCAACTCGTTCAAAAGGCGCTCATAGATCGCTGCCTCTTTGGTGAGCATGCCGCATTCTTCAATAAACGCTGTCATCTTTGGATTATGATAAGGCAACGATTTGACAAACACACGTTTTGTTTGAACATCAGTGCACTGAAAATGCAGTAAAAAGTAACAAAATAAACAATCAAGTCTAAATAGTTTCGTTTTTGTCAATTAGACTAAATGGGGCTATAAAAGAATAAAGCTTGATTAATGCATTAACTGACATATGCAGTTGTATGAGGTGGATTCTGTTGGAGTGTGCAAACAACAGTATATTTTATTGTGGAAATTGAGCTCCAGAAACAGATTAACCTCGATCATAAACTTATGAAATAAAGAAAGCTGTACGAACTTATTAAATGGCCCTCACAAATAGTGGTATGGTCGAGTAATTTATGAAGAAATGTTTCAAATTTTTATACAATATTGGAATTAAAAACTTATTCATACAAAAAAAAAAACAGTTTACATACTGAACTTGGTAATTTTCTCTCAAACATTTATTAAGGAATTAACAGCTGATGGAATTTCGTTTTGGAACCGCCCAGATGGGTATAAACTTTAGAAGGGTCACCGATGTCGAAATTTGAGTCATATTTGAACAGATCGCATAATCGAATATGGGTATTATCTGATTGTATGTCATTTGGTTACTTTTCTGTAACAAGACTTTAATCACAAGGTTCTATTTGAAAGACTTCTTACTAAGAATTCATAAACCGTTGATATCTAACGTGAAAATCACCACTTAAATTTATTTATACTTGTGTAGTGTAAAATTCACGCCATTTTGACACTCTCCTTATCTTAGTTTTACTCGCGTTCGCGTAAATATTTACCTCATCGATGCGATATTGCAGTTGCAAGTGAAAATATTCACCCAAGTAACCGGTTGGGCCGCACTCAGGCACCACTTCGTAGGTCAGCAGTCGACCGGCCGCATTCGAACCCAACATATTGCTGAGAATTTCTTCGACCTCTGTGCGTGAGAAGAGCCCATTCTGCGTTTTAGGTGGTTGCAGAGTTGAGGTAGGACTCATTTTTTGGCGTGTGATTGTTTTAATTTACTTCGATTTAAAAATTTTTACGCAAGTAAGTAAACATTAGCTCACATATTTAGTATTTAAATTTTCTGCAGAAGATAAGAAAATCACTTTCACGATTGCGTCGTCACACTGCGACAATGGAATAGCAACTAGCTCATAATGTTAGTTTACTCATTACTTATATTATATTCAATTGTAATCACTTGCTAACATGTACCACATATGTATGTATATAAATACATATCGTCGCCTGGGTAAATGATTGTCGTAAGCGCCATACGTACGTGCGTAACATACGACAATCTTTTACGCAGGCGACGATATGTGAATGACAAGTGCGCTCATTCATATGTATGTATGCATGTATGTGAGCTTTAAGCAATGAGATAACAAGCCCTTTGCAACGATTACTCCCAGTAAACTTGCCTCTACTTAATTGTTATTTAGTATAATAATTGGAAGAATGTATCTGATAGGGAAAAATCAGCTAGTACGAGGGTGGCTTAGAAAAAAATTAGGTGCGGTTGTAAAAAAAATTGTATGTGCGACTAGCAAGAAAAATATTTTACACCCTATCGGCGATATATTTTTCTCAACCCCTGTGCCACCTATCGGAAAAGTTTATTTGTGGAGTTATTCTAAATATAAACTAAATCATGCCGGTTTATGAAATATATCGGCCCCCGCGTCGCGATATATGAACCAAATGGGACTATAAATAAGGGTTTGATTAATATTCCATACTGCATTTTCATCCAGCTATGAGCTTGGTTTCAAGGTCGCCGAGAAAATTGCCAAAAATTAATGCAAAATCTGACCTACAAAACATACTCACAAACATACATACACATACATAAAAGCTTTTAAAAAAAAAGTCCACTACCAGACGATGCTTTGAAAGCTTCGCCTATTAGCTTATTTATACCAAAGTGTTTGAAAAATTAATGTTCCACCAGGTTTATGTATAGAAACTCATACGTATATTTGTTTCAAATCTTTGGTCATAAGCTACAAAAAAAAAAAAAATCAGCCCTAAATTCTATTTTGCATTTTGAGCAATTAGGAATTCCAACATTTCATGAATACACTCTTCTAAATACTCCCGAAACTGAGGTTGGCTTTCCATCAGCTTAAACACCGCTTCGGTACGTTCCACATGGACATAATCATTGGTCACATACTGTCGGGGAACTTTCACGATGGTTGTGGCAATTGCCCTATAGAACAAACCGAACAGCTGGAGTTCCTCATACGAAGCAAGCAAATCAGAGTAAGTAAGATGATCCGCTGCTATCAAACCCTTCGAACTCAAATCCCGCTCCAGACAATCATAATAGTACCGCAGGTATTCCTTTTCTTTCGACTTTCTTGTGGACTTATCAAGATTCATGAAAAGAGCGAAGATTACATCGATAGCTGGCGGACAGTAGCGCGCAGTCTGATAGTCCACAAAGATGACAGAACGCTCGTTTGCGTTTGTATCCGTCGAAGTAGCAACGCTGCTGTAAAATATATTCCCACGCCAAATATCGCGATGACAAAGCACATTCCGGTACTTGGATGAGCGATTTGTCATTTCGTAGACGCTTTCGGCAGCCGAAGCAAGGCGACTTTCAATTTCCGTACGTACGTCGATTGATTGCGACACCAATTGCGACTTCGCGACGGCGAGTATGGCACGCAAACCAGTGGTGTACCAAGGCACCTGCGCCGATACGGTGATCTCCTCTTGCAATTGAGGATAGGCGTCACCGATGCAGATGCCCTCTTTGGTTTCGAGTGTGAAACAGGATGCATGTTGAGCTGCCAGGCCGCGTAGCACCGAGCGCATGTAGTGTTCGCTGAGAACGTTCACGGTTTCTGAGCAGAGAGCGTAGTTGCGTTCATCCAACTGCTCGAGCACAATGATGTCATCGCGGGTATAGAAGCAAAGCGGCGACCAGGAAACAGTGGCTAAAAAAAAAATAAGGAGAATTAAAATAATACTATTGCGATAAAGCGACGATAACCACCATATTGATGGCAATATTGGCCTATATCACAATAACAAACATAAAACAACCAGCTATCAATATTGATATTGGTTACGAGAACGAAATTGCTATCGATAACAATGTTGACAAATCAATTGATAAAAATCGATAAACATTATATAAAAATATCGATAAAAATGGTAAGGCCAACCCGATGGCAACACTGATAAATACTTATATTGGCATTGTTAAAAAAAAAAAAATTACAAAAAACGAGTGGCATGGCTGCCTAAAATGTATCACAGAGCAATTTGAAAATTTCTTGGGACTTTTCGTGCAAATTCGTAAACATTCAGTAGTTTTCAGGGTCTTTTGGGATTTATCGGAACTTTTCTTTATTATTTTAGGATTTTTTGCCTTTATGGAAATTTTCGTTCATTTAATTTTTAAGATCTTTGGGAATTTTTGTAATAGTTTGCTTTTATCTTTCTGAAGTTTTTTTTCTTAGGATTTTCAGAGATTTTATCAGGAATTTTCGGAGCTCAAACAACGAAAAACTATAACAAAAATCAGAAGTTAACTAAAATTGAAAGCAAGGCTTAAGATGGAGACCTTCATCTCGAAGCAGAAGGGTAATTGCTTCCAATTGGCAGCATACACAACATCCTCATCGTAGTCTACGCTCGCCACGGTGTGCCTGAACTAGCCGTAATTCAATGATTTTTGCATACGTTTTTTTTTATCGCATTTGTTTACTACGACATTATTTTTCGTCCTTGTCTTCAACTTCAGCTTCGACTTCATCATCGGCTTGGCTTACACTCTGTTTTTGACCTTATCCATAGAATCGCTCATACGCCGTGCTGTCACTGGTGGCAGAACGTATGAGTAATGCAATGTGGTGTATGTGTGTATGTATGTATGTATTCATATATTTCCTTTATTAACAAAAACAATAGGGCAATGCATCTAAACGCGAAAGCTCCTCGTAACCATGTAAACCTCGGAAACTTACTTAATTTTGCATGGAAAATTAGTTTATTTACGAGGCATTTACGCGTTTCCATGAATACCCATAATGTAAAAGCAGCTAATTAAAGCCAATAAATATTATTCAACATGCGTTCCATCTACGTATGCATTTGCCCTTATATACATACTTACAATATTTTCGCAAACGCTCCAACAGCGTCCCATACAAAGCAGCTTCCTTGCGAAATATGGCCTCCTTCTCTGGCTCCACACTTGCCTGAGGTACTCGCTTGACGAATGCGCGCAGCTCTTGCAAATTGCGCCTATTAGCCAGCTGCGTTCAGGCAATAAACAAAGTAACAATATGTAATTAGCAACAGAAATATATTCAGCGCCTGAAAACATGCCACACCACTTATCGCACAAACAGCAACTTACATTTTCGTTTTCATTCGCAGCAACAGCAACAGCAGCGGCGCTAAAACACACCAACAAATGATAATATTCGCCGAGAAAGCCACTCGTATAAATAGCCGGCTTCAAGGTGAATTCTTTTAGCTGCAAATTCGATTCTGTGCCACAGGCCTTCGCTAATATTTTCTCACAATGCGCGCGTGTCAAAAGCGGCACTGTTGCAGTTACGACTTTAGGAGGCTCGGCAGGTGGCATTCTATACTAAATTTTTTTTTGATCGAAATATAATAAAATTTTCACTGTTTTTGTACTCAAACTATGTACGAAAATTCATAAATATGTATGTACTAATAAAGCGTTTGGTAGCTTTTTGTGTCTTTCAGATTAAGAATAGTAAAATTCTCAAACTTTTGGCGCCCGTCCAGCTTTCGCGAGCTTCTAGTTTTGACTGCCAGCGGCTGACTTTTTCCCAGCGTTGCATTGGTGGGTGTGTAATTAGTGCTACTTATATGTATATGTTTAAAATGCACATTTGTGTATACATATTTACACTCGTCTGTGCTGTTGTAAATTGTGTAACACATTTTTTATAATTTGTCAAGTGCAGGCACTTAATGGCACTTTAGTATTTATTTTTATTTCTTTTGTTTATTCTAGCAAAAAATATTCTTATCCACTTTCTCTAATTCTTACTTATTTACACTCGTCTGTGTTGTTGTAAATTGCGTAACATATTTTTTATAATTTGTCAAGTGAAGGTACTTACTGGCACTTAAGTATTTATTTTTATTTCTTATTTCTAGAAAAAAAAATATTCTTATCAACGATTTCTAATTCTTTGATTGGTGTGATGGGAAAACCCGTAGCGTATTTTTTTTTATATGTTTACGGTACATTTTACTTTGGCTCTACTAGAGTTTTTTACAAAGTTAAGTTTTGGGAGTGTACGGTGAGAATGCTGCGAGTGAACGCCGGGACCAGGAGTATTTATTTTGCTCGGCTTCGTTGCGGAAATTTTGATGTCAAAGATGCATCTCGCGCCAGTCAGTGAAAAAGTTGATGAAATAAAGAAAATTGTTAGACGATCCTGGATTGACTGGTGGAATTGTGAAGGAATTTACCATTGCGTATTACTACAACGTGGGGAAATCATCAATTCGACCCTTTACTGTGCACCACTCGACCGTTTGAACGAAGCAATAAAGAAAGAGCGACCAGAATTGGCCAACATGAAAGGAACTGGACTCCATCATGACAAGGCCAGGCCACACACACACAAATTGACGAAGCTTCATTGTGAAGTTACAATGCATCCACCGTATGGCCTGGACCTTTCACCGTCTAACTTTCGTTTGTTACGGTATCTGCAAAACTCCCTGATGGTAAACAAGTTGGCCGACCGAAGAGGCGATGAAAACCACTTGGCCAAGTTTTTCGCCTATAAACCACAGACTTTTTACACCGTTGGAATTATACAGCTACTCGAAAAATAGTAAAAGGTCATAAATAATAATGGCCTATATGTACTTGATTAAAATTGAGTTTCAATAAAAAGTTCAAAAATTTAGCCAAAAATTCAGGCAGATTTTTCTTGTGAGCCATTATATTGGTATTAGCAATTCCTTATAAAAAAAAATGTAAGAATTTGAATTAATTGGATATATGTTTCCCATATTTTATTAAGAAAAATTGAAGGCGAAATTTGCCTGATATTTTTTGTGCAATAAAATATGCCGACATTTTTTATTGTTATTTCTAAACATTAATAAAAAAGAAAATTATCCGTGATATTTCACATTTTGTGGGATCTCTTTCGAAAATTTGTTTTTATATACTTTTCAGTAATTTTTCCGAACCATTTATCAATTTGTATGGGTTTTTGTGTGACATTTCAAACTTTCTGGAATTCATCGACGTTTTGTTCTTTTTATTATAAAATGGAGCTCACATTTTCGTTAAGAGTTTAAATATATAGTATGCATATCTTTAGTATCGAATTAAGGTAAAAAAAAATCGCAACTATTACCTATACTCTCTTCGCTTAGCCTTAACTAAGCTCACCGTAGGCTTGACATACGATTCTTTAGCGTTTTGTGTTTGTCAGAATTTCAAATATCGGTGCAAAGTCCACTCCTGATATGCATGTATGTATGTGAGCAGTAACATGAAGCCAGACCTAAATATTTACATATGGGCATCTCCTGGGTTACGGCCGCGACATTCGTACGACTTTAGGGTTAAATAAATCATACGAAAACTGAAGTTACTTGTAAAAAAAACTTAGCCGTTATGTAGCTTTTATACCGTTCTTTGGTTGACAAAAAAATTAGGTGCGCTTGGAACACCGACGTCGAGAAAATCGATGAAAAGGCGGGCATAACGAACGCGACAAAACCAGAGTGATTTCAGAGTGAATGTAAAAATAAGTAAAACTCAACGAATCCTGTAAGGGTTTCCCTTATTCAACATTCTTTAAATAGAGTAAAATTATGAACCGTTACAACCAATTCATTTTTAATCAGAAGCAATTCGTTATTGATTTAATTTTGAATTAAAATCTGGTAACGGACGCGACATATCGGACGTGGCAGATTTTTCCTCCATGCAATATTTTTACTAGTTACACATGCTAAATTAATTTTTTATTTAGTTTTTTTCAGCTCTTATTTCCACCGTTTCGCGTTTTCCAAGCCTCTTTTCGCAATCTGAACACGAAATTTAAAGTTATAAAACCGTTTGACTTCATTTACTAGCATTTTCGGTTTACCTTTTTTGGGAAATGCCCATATGGACGTTCATATATACAATACATACATAATTACATATATATCTCGTCATATTAACTTTATTGTTCATATTACATTGGTATACATATGATTGTACATACATACATACCACATAGTATATCTGGTCATATTAACAATGTTATAGATAAGATATTGCAACTATAAATAACCCCTCTACAAAAGTTGGTTTTAGCTCATATTTTCATGTGACAAATGCATCGGGCCACTTGCTATTTGAAAGAAAGAAGGAGTGAGATAATTTGAGAGCAGACATAGTCTATGATAATTTCAATGTCCCTTCTTTCCCTATGAGGGCAAAGCAGAAATAGGTTCCAAAACTTATTTAAAAATATTAACTTTATATGAACGACTGGTTGGTTCAGTGCTGCTTCTTAAGAAGACTAGAGGGGTGTCTGTAAAAATCGTTGGTGATACTGCAAAACGGTCTATGTCTATTAGTACCCTTGACACTTAGAGGGGGTCGCTTACTTACACCGCAATGCATCTGCAAATCGTTAAACCCTAATAAACGAATTACAAATCTGTATACCTTTGGCTGATGAAGATGAACGATTGCCCGAAGCGATCTGAGGTAATAAGTGACTTAGAACGTTTTGCAGTATCACCAACGAAATGTTATCTTTGGGCTAAGGTTGGTTGAGTTAAAATGCAAATGTCTTTCAACCAAGTTTAAAAAGCGAAAAGTACTGTATCCGGTTAATACAGCTCCATATCTTCGCTGCCCAAGGAACGTTTTTAAACTTGAAAAAAGGTTCCGAAAATAGAAATCTGCGGGAAAATGGATTTTTCATAGGACACTTTTGATTTTCTTAATTTTGACCGTAGCAGTGACAACAAGTGAAATGGTTGGCCAGGTTCAAAATTTATTATTTATTGAAGGATTAACTGAAGAGTGGGATATTCTATTGAAAACTTTGCCTGAAAAACGCTTTTTCTATATAAAATTTTACAAACCAGTGTAATCAATCAATCCAAAGAATTTTAAATAATCTCATCAAACTGCACATAATCTGCATGTAACAGTTTATTTTTAATTGACACGAATGTGACCAAAAAAAAAACAGAGCTACATGCACAGGTGCACATACACACACATACAAAGGTATTTTAATTACAATAATACAAATTAAAGAATTGTGACATGCTGAAGCAATTGATGCTTGTACTCGGCGGCTTTGCTCTCGCCCCATTCAATCCATTACAAAATTACAATTTCGTATACGTTTTAAGATGCTTGCAATTGTTTTCGCATTTGACGCTTCTCCGCCAGCATTGTTCCATATGGACGGATTGTGATGTAGTAAATTATCTCTACGAAGCTCAGAAGACTGGCGCCGACAAAGAGGCCGGTAGTGCCACCGATCGACACTGGGGGGGGGGGGAAATTTTTTAAATTAATTACACAAAATACGAGCGCTTCATTAAAATTTAAATGAAAAGATAGTTACACCCAAACTAAATCCACTCACCAACTAAATCCAACTTTCCACGCACAACATTTCGCTTATAACGCTCGGTTGGCAATTCGATAAGTGAGATCTCGACTTTCGCCAATGGATTTTGATTCTCAAAAATGCTAAGTTCAAGAATGTCAGATAAATATTATAAAATTCCAACTAAAATTTTTATTTTTTTTTAGAAATATTTCACTTTCCTTACTTCTCCTTGCTGTCATGCACCGTCGATATGTCCACCTCCGTGCAGGATGGCAAGCAGTCGCAGACCAAACCTTTGCGACCACGCGACCACTTGGCTATGATCACCGATAAGTCTTCGTAGTTGCGATTCAAACACTCCAGTCCGTCCATGTTGCACAACTGCCAGTCCGGCGTGTTTGGCGAGAGATGGCTGGAGCAGTTGCATAGCTCGATTTGGCGATCCTTGCGGCATTGCACGGTGCAAGCAGAGTAACTGTAATAGCGATGGACATCCAAATTGTTTTCATCGCTGAAACGGCAATTTCGTTGAGCTACACTCGTTTCACGAATTTGTTCATCATTTTGAATGTCGCGCTTGGAAAAATGCCGACTGGGGGAAGGTGAGGGAAATATAATATATAATATAAGGGATATAAATAAATTACTCACACAAATGAGACGTAAGGACCAACCAACAAATAATCGGTTTTTGGGGTAACCAAAGTGGGAACCTCCTCTTCACCGAGTATAAAAATCTAAGAATAGTCATAATACAACACGACAAAAAAAGTCAGTTAAAAAACGTTATATTTAGTTAAAAAATTAGTTACTGTCGCTTCGGTGTGTAATTCCATTTTCAACGAACCGGGTCCAGTGTAACGATTTGAGTACATATTCAATTTGGGACCGTCATTTTTGCTAAAAAAATGAAAATTTGTTAGACATATTTTTGTTGCCTTGCAAAAAATACTTCCGATGGTAAATGCAAAAACTATTATAAAGATCAACAACATACTTAGTTGAGTTTGTTTCGTTCATTTTTGCTTTTTCCATTTTATTTATTTCAAGACTTCCCCGATCTGATCTCAAAGGTCTTACCCCGCTTGCAGTGAATTGATCGCATAGCAAATGCCTAACTCCGTTTCCATGCGTTGAAAGTATTTGCAGCACTCAAATGCCTTATCATGCCACATGCAATTCTGTATGGAGTCCTGGCAGCTGCTGCGCACCAATTGGGCGTAGTAGGAGAAATTCGAGTAGAAGCAATTTTCCACCGGTTCTTCGCCGCCGCACTCGTGCACCATGTGATAGGATTCGCCGCGAAAGAAGGATATCTCGCTTAGCACCTCCTCCAAGGTGAAATCGTGATCGGCGCCCCAGAGTCTAAAGAAGGGTAGGAAGTCAAATACAAAGTCAAGAAAATTGTGTTTTTGCTTACTTTTCAGCCACTTCCTGTATGCGATCCATATTTTTGGACTCACAAACAACTATGGCCGGAAAATTGGTGTCCCAATCCCGATAGGAGCTTTCGACAACGAAACTAATGGCATTGTTTTCGAAAGCGTCTACATGAAAGAATCACTTTAAAGAGAATGAATCAATAAAAAATACATATTCCGAATGTCGGTTACCCAATGACACTTTTATCAACTGCCAGGAGGCTATCCAAGATGCCACCAGGCATAATGCCCAAAACAATCTCTCAATCCAAGATGCATCTTTGTCCACTATGAATTTTGCTCCATGCAACGTGGAATTCTCGAAATATTCCTCCACAAGGCGTCGCAAATGCATTGTTTCCGTTCCGTTCCTCAAACCGATTGCACGCGAATGACCATACGAAATGAGAAAAATTTCAGTGACCAATGACGCAGGCTGAAATAATATTTTGCCCCCTGCCAGACAGGAGTGCCATTTATAAAGCAATTACAGTATCTTGATTACATTGTATATTTTATCAATGCATGTTACGAAAGCATTCTGAATGGCTTACTAAACAGTTGTTACAGTTCACATGGAAGCCATTGGGTGTTAGAATATTTTTATACCTTTCATGAGCATGAAATGGTATTATAACTTTGGTCCGATGTTTGTAAGTACCAGAACAAAAAGAGATAGACCCATTAAAATGTATACTTATATGATCAGAACGTCGAGCTGAGTTGATTTAACCATGTCCGTCTGTCCGTCTGTCCGTCTGTCCGTCTGTCCGTCTGTCCGTCTGTCTGTCTGTTTGTATGCAATCTAGTCTCTCAGTTTTCGAGATATCCGTATCAAATTTGGTATGTGGGTGTATTTTTATAATGTATTAATCATTTGTCGGAACCGGAAGAATCGGACCACTATAACATATAGCTCCCATACAACTGATTGTTCAGATATGAGATTTTTCGTTATAACTTCTCCATTTATGCAGCTACGAACATGAAATTTTGCAGTACTTGAACCCATTATCAACAGAATACTTACAGTGAAAATTACAAAGATCGGGTCACTATAACCTATAGCCCCCATACAACTGATTGTTCAGATATAAAATTTTTCGTTATAACTCCTCCATTTATATCGCTAGGAACATGAAATTCCGCACTGTTTTCAATAATTATCAACAGAAAACTTACAGTGAAAATTAAAAAGATCGGGTAACTATAACCTATAGCTCCCATACAACTGATTGTTCAGATATGAGATTTTTCGTTATAATTCATCCATTTATGCAGCTAGGACCATGAAATTTCGCGCTGTTTTCACTCATTATCAACAGAAGACTTACAGTGAAAATAACAAAGATCGGGTCACTATAACCTGCAGACCCCATACAACTGATTGTTCAGATATGAGGTCTTTTATCATAACTCC